TCTTTTTCGACTGGGTGATATATCTTTCACGCGTCGCGTCTATAGAGGTAGACCACTTTGCGCAGACGTGTTATTATGTTTCGTGCCCCTTCTGCAAATTCTGCGCGTTTATCACTTTAGCAAAATCGAATGCGCTTATTTGATGACGGTTTTTACCTAACACGCGGCAATTCACCCTGCAGTTAACTTTCATTGGCGGAATGGGGCAGGCGAAAAGTAAACTTTATCCATTTTGCACTTTTTGGTTGGCATTTTCGCGTCACACTTTCACGCAGTTCTGAAACAGTGGAGTGATTCGTTTTAGGTAGGGCGCGTAGGGTGCCTTTTTGAAGGTATGATTTCTCATTTCGTACATACACACATGTGGGTAAAGATAAACAAGGTGCATATCATACACCTTCTGCGCAAAAGGGGGCGTCTTCATTTTCTCCCTTGCACTTGTCGGACATAAAAATGAAAAATTAACTTATTAGAACACAGAAAGTGGATATTCTTTTAGGTGAACGGTACGCAAAAATGGATGCGCGTAATGATCTGTGCTGTTTTCCGGTGTTTGCATTTGCCTCTACAAAGAAACGCAAAAGTGTAGCACCCGATGGTACCCGGCCGATAGAAAGCTCTTTGCTGGCGGCGCACACACACGGTTTTGCATGAATCGTGTTGGCATAGGGAATTATTTTTTAATTAAGAGGTGGTTCCTATAAGGATAAATATGTGTGTAATCATTCGTTTGTCCATCCGATCGTCCGCAACCCCATTTGGGGACACTCGCTCCTTTGTCATTTCCCGAATAAGCAAAACGCAGGAGCGTCTGTATTCTATGTCAACCCCTGTCACACCCTCGCGGGGATTTCCAAAACAGTCGTAAACATGGAACATTTGCATTTTAATCCGTTTAGTATGTGATTTCACGCATCACATACTACTGCTAAGGGTGTTGTCCGTTAAAATTTTTTTTTTTTTTAAATGTACATAGCTGATCGTTATTTTTGTATGAACGGTTCAGGCAAAACTGGCGCGAATTTGACAAAAATTAGAAAATCCTCCTTGTTTGTGCACAGAAATGGATTTTTTTTTTTTCTCATAATGGCTGGCTACAGCTAAAACGGGTAAAGCTCCATAGGCTGTGGGAACACTATTTTTCCACCCGCGGCGGATATGTGTGTAAGCGTGTGTGTGCAAATATGTACTAATAAAATGCAAGGGTTATGTTAAATTGTTGCTAAATTTTCCTTCTACTTTTGATTTTCCTCTGATTTGTCAACCACTTTTCCCCCCTTTTTTCTATGTCACTTTTTGGCGTTATAGAATTTGATGGCTGCTACTCGATTTGCTTCATTTTGCGTTGCGATTCGATGTACTCATTTTTTTATTTCATGAAAGCAAATATTGCATTGAAGCTTTTCTGCAATAAAGTGCATTAGAAAAAAGGCCAGAAATTTTGAAGTGCTAATGACACACTGGCAGTGCTGCTTTTTCATGACGTTAAAACTTTTTTTTTTTTTTTTTTTCTTTGGAAAAGTACTGTTACACTTGTTAACTTTGCCAACTTTGCCATTTTGTCAATTTGCCAATTTACCAATTTATCAATTTGCTTTATTTTGATACCTTTGCTAATTTTGCTATGCTTTCTTCCGCCTTTATAAAACTCCTTGTTTTCTTTGACTTGCCCTTTTCCGCTCTTTGATTTTAATTAATTTCCGCCTTTCCATTTGCATGTTTTTCCGTCATTTTCTCTACTCATTTTCCTCCCCTGCGGTAAACGTATTATTCAATTGTGCCAACGCTCGTGCATGTACTGATTGACTGGAGGATTTTTCACTTATTCATGCGCTTATCCATTCGTTTAATCATTTGCTTATTCAT